ACGTTGCACTGTTGGACTTGTATGCATGATGTGTGGGCTATGTTGGGCTATGGCCTAAGACACATGAAGACACAGATGGCTAAGGCCAAGGATCGAATGTTGCCCTATTCAGGTGATGCGATGGCTAAGTGCTGGTGCACGATGCAACTGACAAGCTTGAGGATTGGAAGTGCATGCGACAACGATGCTCAGGTCCCGGCATGGCACAAATATGTCCATAGCCAAACTCCAAGGCACACATGGAAGTGATCCAGCATGTATGGGTGTGTCATATGAGTTGAATACATGTCAATACCATAGCTAAACATGAGATGGGCGACACAATGAGGGAAGCCTTGAGGCAGACCTCTCCACAGGTACAAGGATGGTATTGAGGTAACTGGAAAAAGTTGAAAGGCTGGCCCTAGGCTATATGGAGCTTTGTGCACCGCACAAGTAAATTGTGTGCTGCTGAGGTAGTCGAAAATAAGCTCGTGGCATCTACATTGATTAAACAAATCCTTTCTAGCTTTGTGTTCCTGTGGTCGTATAATATCCTGACTACTAGGTAAAGCTTTATGGCTAATAGAGAAGCATTGTTGATGATGTCGAACAAAAATGAGAAAATAGACCCAGCTTTTAAAAATGCCTACAATAAAAGAACTAGACGCCATGAACTATATAAAATGACGCAAGCTATCAAAAAGGAAATTGCCTTAACAAAAACCCGGGCAAATAAAGTTGAGTCAAGGAGACAACATTTCGCTGATAACTCAACCCTCTCTGAATCTTCCTTCGAGCAGCCAAATTCTGCTAAACTACATCCTGTTCTCCGAGGAGATTGCCTGTATCAATTTGAAATAGGTCAGAAAATTATATTGACACTTTTTTAGAAAAATAAGTATATATATTGATACAATATTAACTCCATTTACATAAAAGGATCAACATCAAATACGAATGAACAATGTGAAGAAAATTCAACAACGACACAAACATCCATAAATTATTGTATGTTAAACTCTGTCCCAAAATGTAATTTTTGTGCTGCAAAAAGATTTGAATATGAATCTGTAGGTTTATGTTGTGCCAAAGGTGCTATTAAGCTAATTTCCCACCAACTTCCACCAGATTTGAAAAATCGCTATCTTGAAAATAATGTGAAATCAAAACTTTTCCGAACTTATATAAGAACCTACAAAAATATGTTTGCCTTCACATCCCCTGGAGTAAATTACCATAAAGATTTAGTGAAAAGAAATAAAGGTATTTACACATTTCGGGTTCAAGGTAAAATGTATCATTTCATAGAGGATTTAATGCCAAGTGGTGAAAAAGTGAAAAATCTTCAACTATACTATTTTGACAGTGACAATGAATTGAAAACTCGAATGGCAAGTTCTGATAAATTAACTGAAGAAATTGTGGAAACTTTAATGGAAATATTACAAATTAATCCATACTCTATATTCTTAAAATCATTAATAAATATTCCACAGTTATCTTATTTATATATTGCTCTTAAATGTGATGCTGGTTCGAATCAACGGACATATAATGTACCAACTGCATCAGAGGTTGCAGGAATATGGCTAGAAATCTATTAACAATTATATTTCCACACCTCATATCAGAATATTTACCAAAAGTGATAGAAGCCAATTAGTAAATTATTATTACGGCTGTTATGATCCATTATAGTATCCATTGCTATTTCCTTATGGTGAAAATGGATGACATTGTGGTATTAAGAAATCAAACCTTCAATTAATTATTGTGCAACACAAACATATTGTAAAAACGAAGAATTACCAAATGTTAAAAACATAACATCAATTGATGGATTTTTAAATTTAGAAGATGAAATTATGAACAAAGATAAGCGAAAAAGAGAAACTATTTCTTGTCGTGAATATTATTGTTATAAACTTCAAATAAGAGATAATGAAAATATAATTTTGCATTCAGCCAGATTATTCCAACAATATGTAGTAGATGAATGGATCAAAATTGAAACTCAAAGACTTGATTTTACTTCTTTCAACAAAGACTTGTTTAAAACTGATATGTTAGGTGAGCTTTTAGATGTTCTGTGGCGTGGTGAAAGAGAAGCTTCGCAAGTAGGTAAACATAGAATAATTCCCCTTAGTTTTACGGGAGGTCCTAGAGATATGTATCTCTACCGATGATACATGGATGCTATGGCTTTAGTTCAACGTTTTGTAAAGCCTGATATTTTTTTAACTATGACATGTAATCCTTCTTGGCCTGAATTTAAAGAAAATTTGTTGCCAACTGAACAAGCACAAAAGAGACCATATTTAGTTTGTCGAATAATTCGAGCAAAATTAGAAGAATTAAAAAAAAAATATTCAGCGCACATATATTTGGCAAAGTTGTTGCATCTATGTATACAATAGAATTTCAAAAACGGGGTCTTCCTCATGCTCATTTCCTTTTTATACTTGAAGAAAAATATAAAATATTAACACCTGAAGCATATGATAAATTTGTTTATCGAGCTACCAGATCCTAAAGCAAATCCTCATTTATTTGAACTTTTTATTTGAACTTGTTCGTTTACACATGATACATAGTCCTTGTGGTACATTAAACCTTGTATCTTGTATGGGGGAAAAAGGTCATTGTAAATTCAAATATCCAAAGCAATATTCTGAACATACTACTAAAGGTAAAAGTTCTTAGCCAATTTATAGAAGATGAAATACAGGACAATGTATAAAAATTGGAGGTCATCTTCTTGATAACTCATGGGTTGTCCCTTACAATCCATATTTGCTTTGTAAATTCAACTGTCATGATATTAAAATTGTAAAATATATTTATAAGTATATATGCAAAGGACATGATAAAATTGTATTTCATTTACACACTAATTATACAATATAGAAATTGACGAAACAAGAGAATACCAATCCACCCGATGGGTATCTCCACCAGAAGCTACACGGCGTATATATGTTTTTCCTATTAGTGAAATGAATCAATTTTTATACCATCTTCAACTTCATCTTGATGGACAACTTGTCTCCTTAAAAAATACTGACAATATTGATAAAATTATAAATAATCCTATGATTAAAAAAACTATGTTAACTGAATTTTTCCTAATGAATAAAATGAATAAGGAAGCTATGAATTTAAATTTATTATATAGAGAATTTTCAGAATATTTTATATGGTCAACTTCATATAAAATGTGGACACGTCGTAAACAAAGAAATGCAATTGGTCGTGTTGTGATGTGTCACCTAACTGAAGGAGAAATATATTATATTAGACTCCTTTTAATGAATATAAGAGGACCTAAATCATATGAAGACTTACTAACTGTCAATGGAGAATATTGTAGTACATTTAGAGAATCTGCAGAGAAAAGAAGATTTTTGCTTTCTGAGAATAATTTAACAGAATGAATATCTGAAGCAGTGAGTTATCAAATCTCGTCCAGCTTAAGACATTTATTTGTTGTGTTGTTAGTTTAATGTAATCCAAATAACCCTAAAGAGTTGTGGGAAAAATTTGAACCTTCAATGTCTGAAGATTTCAACAAATATCCAAGTCTATCTTCAAAAGAAATTTGTTATAAAGTACTAATTCATATTACTGATATTCTTTATTCAATGGGCCGCGATATCAACGAGTTTGAACTAATTTCAGGAACAGTAAAACCTTCTGCAACAGCTAAAGAAGCAAAAGATGTTGCCTACATTTTGAAATATGATTGGAGCCACTTTTTGTGTCGTCGACTTCCACGCGATGCCTCTTACAAACCATCTCACCAGGTTGGCTACTAAACATACTTATTTTTTTCTTGGTAAAACATACTTATTTTTTATTCACTTTTGACCTTCACTATTTTGCATAACAAGTCTCACTCACAACAAGACAATCGTTGACGCATCGCTTCCTTTTGGATTATGTAAATAAAATGTACATGCGTGTCTTGTAAAACTTGGCTCCAACACTTAATATATATATAAATATAATGTGTATCACATTCGTAATGTTGGGTCTGTGCTGGCACGGGCCATGCACCTCTAGTATGTTTAAAAATGTGAGTTCATCCTTCCCCTGGTGTTTCTTCAAATGTGGTTCTTTAGCATGTGACAAACAGTTCACCTGGATGTCCACGCCCGGCAGACCCTCCCATTTGCACCCTTTTTACAGAGCAGCAATGACACGGGGAAGTTGAAAACTTAAGTAGAACATAGTGAATTTTATTGCTTGTAATTAGTATACCCTTCTTTTCCCAAACATTAGTTGTGGATGATTTTATCAGAAATGCTTATTTAAGATTGTACCTTTTATTTTTCTGTAGGTTTTGCCTGATCTCTTTCACATTGTACGCATATCTGAGGATGGTCTAAAGGAATTTATAACATGGAAACTTGGAACCTTGGTATCTATTACACGATAGGTAATATTTCATTTTAATTATATCTGTCTTGTTGTTCTTTTGGATTTGTAATTTTTGTAAGGTCTGTTGAATGATTTTTTGTTTGGAGCACATCCAAAAATATCTGCCAGAGTAGCTCTCTCTGATATCAGAATTATGGTCATCTCTTGTTGCTAACAGACATGTTCACATTGCTTCTGTAAGTAGTAGTTTCAGTTGGTATTAATATACTGCACATACTTTTTGGTGTAAGTCATTATAATCATATGCTTTGGTTAATGATCTTACTGGTCGTTTTCTTTTGCTATTTTAGATTCTGTATCTCGTGGAGCTACTTTGCTTGGCACTCAACGATGAATTCAGAAAGTATCTTCCTGATATACTTCCCTGTTGTATTCAAGTTCTTACTGATGCGGAGAGGTTTAATGACTACACATATGTAATTACTATTCTCCACACCCTTGAAGTCTTTGGTGGTTAGTCTTCCTTGGTTGTTTCTGTGGTCCATGCCTTGGTTAGTATCACTTTGATGTTGATGGTAGTGGTCTCACCTTAATGTGCAGGGACATTAGATGAGCATATGCATCTCTGTTTACTGCACTTATTCGGTTGTTTAAAGTGGACGCTTCAGTAGAAGTAAGACGTGGTGCAATCAAAACTCTTACAAGATTGATACCTTGTGTGCAGGTTGGTGTAAAAGGGACTAAGGGAATGCTTCTATCATTGTTTCCATATGATTGCTTGTTTTCCTAAACTCTTTTCCTTTTCTCTTCATTTCCATTCTGCAGGTTACTGGACACATATCTTCGCTTGTGCATCACTTGAAGCTTTTCTTGGACGGGTCTGATTTTTCTTCTTCACATGAATATCACTGATAATATATGAGACTTATTTTCCTTGAGTCAATAGATGATAACAAATGAACTGACAAAGATCTATTGTTTGTGGGTTTTGATGTTGACTCTAGTGAGTACACTCTCAGATATCAAATTCCGACCCATATGTAGCTACACTCGCACACATTTATATAGAAGTGAACCTTGAACTCTGATTTATTACCTTGGAGTGTATACTAATTGCAGCTTCTGCTTCCTTTTACTGAAGGTCATCCAGTAATTTGACACAAATGGCTGGAAAATTGTGAAGCAAACATTAAAATTTAAATCATTATATTAGTGTTTCAATTTCAGTCAATATTGCAAGAGTTTTTCTCATGTTTGTCCAAACTTCATTTTGAATGCAATTCCTTTCCTTATGTCATGAACAATTGCTAGACGATTCTACTACTGCTGTTTTCAAAAACTCAGTTGATTTTATCTTATCGTTTTTTACCTTATCCTTTCTGTTTTAATTCTAAAGCAGACTGAATTGTGAGTTTCTGTACCTGTTAAAAGCTTTGTACTATGTGATTTCTGCAATACTTTCTTCAAGTTTGTATTGATAAATTCTTGGTGCTCCCTTCCATTCACAAGAACAAAGAGGAGCTCAGGAAAGCTGCTATTGATGCACTTCGTTGCCTAGCTCATGCTCTTGGAGAGGAATTCTCCATTTTTATTCCTTCTATTCACAAGCTTATGGTTTAACATAGGCTGCAGGTCTGCATTGATTTTTAGGGTTCTCCCTATCACTACTACGACATTATAAAGGCTTATACTGCTGAGGAATTTGTTCTTGATACGATAATTTTTCATATACAACACAAGGAATTTGAAGAAATCTAGGGACCGCTAGATAAATGCGAGCCATTGATTTTTGGAAGCACCACACCTCAGAGATTAAATCAGCGGCTGCCGGTTGAGGTCATCGGTGATCCTTTAGGCGATGGAGAGAGTGACCTCTATGAGGTTGGGACCGACATGCAGAAGCAGCTCGAGCTCAGAGTGAAAGTTCAGGGAGTCCCTCGTATTATCTTTTGATATCTAAACTGTGAGAACACAATCTCATTTTCAGTTGGGGGTGCCTCCCTTGTAGTCATTTTGTTGATTGTTTCTACATATAGTGATTGTTCCCTTGTAGGGCGTACTTTTCTTTCTTTGTCATGGATTGGTGTGCCCTTGTCGGGATTTGATATTGTGGATGTTTCTGTTGATATTGTGTTGGATTGGTCTATTTTAGTTTTTGATTTGTAGTTTATAGCTTCTTTGTTTTTGCTTTGATAATAAGATTTGGATTGACGATGCCCGATGATGGATATAGGGTGACGACTTGGTTAAGGGTAAATCGTCGACTGAGTAGCCATTCCCGAATAGATGCATGAGGTTGTTGATGATGGATTGGTTGACGACTTTCATTTGGGCAAAATCGTCATCTTTTTGGTAAGGTTTTGACTTGGTTGGAACTAAGAGCATAGTCATGCATGTGAATAGTGTTGAGCATACCTCTTCATTTTAAAAAGGTTGGGCATGTTATGAATGATTTTTTTGACAACTCTTACAACTTTTTTTTGTGACTTTTGATTCGTTAGCGGTTAAAATGTTCAATGCTACTTGTATCTTGAAAAATAAGTAAGATTTTGAACCATCTTGATTGATTGCAGGTCATGTGTGGTGAGTTGTTGAATAATGCCTTGTGTCCGCTTTTGTCACCTAGAACTTGCCCGGTTGGTCTTGAAATGTTGGTCTTGCTTGAGTTTGGTTGGAGAAATGATCTTAGGCTTTCTTTTATGTTCTTGAAGTCCACTTGGCCTAAAAATCCCACCTTTTGCACTAAATATATCCTTAGTTGTCCCCTTTGAGTATTGACAACCACATTACAAGCCTTATCCTTTTTGAAAAAGTAACCCTCTTTTGAACCCTTCCCTCCTTTAACTTGAGATTGTGAGAGTTGAGGCTAAAAGCCTAAGTTGGGGGTGTTATGAGAAATTCATTGAAGGGAAGCTTCCCACATGAGGACATGATATAAAAAAAGAAAAAAAAGAGAGAAATTGAGGGATGGATGGAAAGACTTCAGAAAAAAAATGAATAAATGAGACTTGAATCCCCCAAAAGTTGAAAATGGTTGCATGTTGGACATCTAGAGTGGAAATAAGAAAAGGAAAATGAAAAATAGTGTGGGATCTGCATGGGTTTGAAAAGTGAAGAAAACCGGATAAAGTTGGAAATAATGAATTGTTGTGTAGTGTTCAAGGAGGGTGTCGTCACTTACACCTAAATGATATCCCAACCGTCCCTAAGCCTATATTATAATCTTAACAAAGTCCTTTGAGATTTCTAACCAAATGGAGTTGAGTCAATGTTGATTGAAAATATGGGCAAGCCTATGGTGTGACATTTGTGTGTATGAGATGATTTTTTGTGAGTGTGAGTGTTGCATCTTTGTCCCTTGTCTTGTTTATATGTGTGTGTGGTTTTGGGACACTTCTTTCTTGTGAGGGCATGTAAGTTGAAAAGGTGGTGATTTTGGAAATTTCTAATTTAGTCAAGTGAGTATGTGAAAGAGTTAATGAATTGAGTCATTTCTTGATTTTGAGTTGTTGTCACTTAAATGATTCTTGGTTTTTGAAAATGTTTCATGAGAATGAGAGGATTTCTTTTGTGAAAAGTTTGCATGTGGACTATTTGTCAGTACCAACCGAAGCCATTACCTTTGTGCTTAATTGAAAAAGGGAAACTGATTTGTGGTGTGTTTTGAAGCAAGAGCCTCTTGTGTTTGACCGCGACTCTTAGTTGGCTATTTTTTGGACCACAAGAACATACAATTTAACATAAGTTAAATGAAACAGGAAAGTTCTCAAATAGCATAAAAAATAGAGTTAACGGTTCAAAAACCATAGTACTTTGTGGTTTTCGAGTTCATTGGAGTCCTAACCCTGGTGGTGGTTCGCCTTCGTAGTCAAGCTCGTTGTTCCCAGTCGCTGCTCCAGGAAAGGTAAATTTTATCATCTTATTTAAATCCTTGTATAACCTCGTTGGGTTGATTAATTCGATGTACTCTTAGCTAGTTAGGCTGGTTTCTTTCTTGTTTAACAATTCATTTTTTTTTAAAAAGCTTGATTTTGTTTTTAGCATGTTAATCTCCGTTTTGATTAGTTTTATCTCTATGTTGGCATTTAAATAGGTGATATTGATGTGATGCTGTGAATTGCTCATAAATGAGTTGTTGTGGGTTAAGTTCGGTCGTTGTGTTAAATGGTCGAGTCATAAATTTTCCTTTAATGCTTGTTTTTTTATTTATCGTCTAAGATGTGATTCATTGTTTAAGGTGTTTTGTAGAACAAATTTCAAGTTAATTTTTAGTTTATACTTACTGTTCTTTGCTCTTTTTTTTGGTTCAAGTGTTTTCAATATAGTTTCAATATGTTCTACTTTGGTTCTTTGCCTCTTGAATATGGAATACAATTTATGTGTTTGATTGCCCACTGATTTCGCCTCAGTTTTTACTTAGTCATCTAGCTTAGTTCAAAACCAAATATTTTAGATTTGTATCTCATGAATCAGCTGTATGTTTGAAGGTCAGAGAGGTTTAGAGTAAGCGCTCAATCGTAGAACCACCAATACGAAATGTGTTGCCTCCATTTTAATGACAGTACTATTGTTAATGCTTGCATGTCCTTTATTTATTCATTTTTCCTCTTTTAGTCAAAGCTATGTCACTTGAGAGCTACTGATGACTCCAAAAGTTAATTGCTTACAAGGAAGAGCCATCAGAAATGGGCGGGTTAGAGCTGAAATTCTAATGATCAATCTATTTATCCCCACTCTATTCAGCTCCCTTTCTCTGCAAGTTTTGGGAATCCTGCCTTTTTCCATTAGAAATTATAGAACTGGTGAAGAATCTGTCATATTGTTGCAACTCAGAAATATTTTTTGGGTGTATTCACAGATAAATCATTCTTAAAGGGCTTGAGAGAGTCATTCGCCTTACAATTTTTCCAAAGCGAAACGATGTGAGTCTTCCTTGCTTGTTTGTTCTACGTATATGACGAAGTTTTGACACTTCTATCATTTATACTGGTTTCTCTACATTATGTTTTACTCCGTTGGAATATTCTTTTCATGTGATTCATTAGTTTCATTTAAAATTTTATTCCAGCCAACGAGTATTTCATGGAATTCCTTTCATGATAAGCGAGAAGGATATTCTGAATAAGCTGTTGTTATAAGGTTCTTTCTCCACACTCTTACTTGATAATTTGTTCTTGTAGCAAGTTGCGTTTGGTTTTGCTCTTGTGCTTGTTAATGAAGAGATGTTATCTTGCTTGTAATAGTTCCTGAAGAATGTCTTACATGAATTTGGAAGGCAGTTTCACTGACTGTGAATGATGCACTTTTTGTTTAGATTAAGTTAATAATTTGTAGTCGCTTTGGAGTTCAAATGTGAAATGTTTGTTTCGTGTTCTATTGATATGTTACTTGGATGCTGTGGCTCTAGATTTTTAACATCGAAGAAAATAGAACCTCCAAAACTTTATTAGTATACCCAAGGACAGTTTACTTCATTGTTCAATTAGTAGTCTCAATCCAACATCATTTATTGGATACTGACATATCTTATGTATCTCTTCCAGTACCCTTCACTAGAAGCATCTGGAATGCTTTCATTGATGCCGACTTCTGGTTAGCCTTTTTCTCAATTCCTCTTTTCTTGTCTTGTTGTTGAGTTCAAGAGTTGAAAATTATGGTCTATGGAGCAGATCGTTGCTAATTGCTTTACTCAAAAAAGGGAAGCTAGGTTTTGTGAATGGAACTTCCAAAATGGAGTCACAGAGAACTAATATTTGAAATCTGTGGGACAAATGTGAAAATATTGTGCATTTGTGGATCATGTATTCCATTTTGAAGAGTTTACTGAATGAGATAATATATGGATCAAATGCACATGCAGAGTGGGAAGATCTAAAGG